TTTCAATTCATTTCAATTCAATATATTTCAATTTTTTCCAAGATATAATAATTTATTGAATATATATAATGTAATGTATTTTTTATTGCATCTTATATAATAGCAAATCGCGTAAGTGTCAAAAAAGCTTAAGTATTTTTCTCTTTGTCTCATGAAAAGTAAATACAGTTAATACTTGAGAATTTAGTTAATGATACTGTTTTTTAATTGTTTGATTGGGCTGAATCCGGCAGTACTGCAAGACCGGCTCAACCCGCGGCGGACTCGAAGCAAGCTCCGAAATTCCACCAAGTTCCAAAAATCTAGCTAATATTCTGGCAATTCTATGAATTGCGTATCAGATATTAAGCTGATAAGAACAGATACTACACTTTGATCTTAGCCATAGGCCGAGAAGCGATAATAAAACTTAATTTCATCGCTTTATTATACTTTTTTATGTGGGAAAATGATTGCGAGTATTGTGCGACATCTAGTGGCGATCGATGATTTTTTTGTCGCCTTAGTGTCGCTAACTGCTGTGGATTTGGGTGTCATTGACGCTTGCAGAGACATCTGCAATTTTGTTTCTGTGAAAAACAGAGTTAAATTTCGTATTATAGGTTAAATATATCAATAGTGAGGGGTAATATTGGAAACTGGAACAAATATTAATATATATATATATATATTTTGTTGTTTTAAGTACATTAGAAAAAATCGAATATTTTTAATAGTTTATAAATCGACGTGATATTCCTGACTTTTATAATAAAAAGTAATAGAAGTAGTCTTTTTTATTCTTGAAATATTCGCATAACTTATATTATTAATCACGAGTTAACCTCTATGGGCCGAATTTTGTTTATTAATAAAAATAAATGTGTGGAACTAAAAATCAACAATTATAAATATATATATGCGGATAGAAAAGAAAGTTTCTGGTTTACACAGTATTATTACAATAAATTCTCTGTGTTACTTTCAGGTAACAACAGCCTAGCATGTTTTCACTTCTGCGTAGAGAAACCTAAGCGTCAAATTCTTCTAAGTATTTTGCACCTAGCGTTAAATGTAAAATGTCAATAAATTATATTGATTCCTGGGGCTTACAGAATGCAATGAATTCTGTCAACGGATGCACGACTGGTGTAAGCTAAGTAAATATCATCTCTTTTTCCGTCAAAATCTATCCCTTTGGTATCTTTATAGATCTTCTTCAATAAAACTGATAAACATGGTCAGGAATTGTTCGCTGCAACAAATTCCTCAACTTGTTCTGACATTTAACAGAACACAAAAGCTTTATCCTAAATATACAGAAATGTCTCTTATAGGCCATTATTACTTCAAAGTAACAGAACTGTATCATAAAAAAAAAGTAACAAAATGATATTTGAAATGCAAGAAGATAAGTTGTTATTGATATTCAAACTTAGAATTATAATATACACAATTTTTTATTTGGTAAACACCGACAGAAGCACAAATAATATCAATTGAAAAAAAAGATTTCGCTTGCTTCTACTGCAGATAGTTTGCGCAACATTTATTTTATTTTAGATTAATGGTATTAGCAACCGTCATGAATATTTGTATTAGTTTTCTCTGAGACATTACAGAATTAAGATGTATATGCCATCTCATTAAAGAAACTATAATTATTGGGTAAAATGCCAAAAAATTATCATGTTACTTGAAAGTAACACTAGCCCATAGATGGTTAATATCTTTTTTCATTCTTGGTTCAAGAAGCTCTAGTAAATTTTCTGTTTATAAGAACTAGATATTTTTTTATAACGAAAAAATGAAAAGGATTTAATAAAGTATCATTCCGGGTCTTTAATTTCGCATGTCATAAAAATAAGATATAATAAATATTACAATTTCATTTTTATATTATTAATTTATATCAGTTACCATTCGTTAAAAAATAAAGACGTTATTCCTAACTAAATCATAGATAGTGTGTAACATCATTTGCCCAATGATATCAAATTTTATGTTTATTGTCTCATAAAAAATGTGTTAAGCTAGACGTTTTAACTTACGCGGTAGTTTTTGCATACATATTACCCATATCAGAATGGAATCTATTCTAGAAAGAAAAGTGTAATATTTAAATATATTTATGATTAAATATATTGAAAAAAATGTTTCATAAAATAATATTAATTATAATAACCATTGATTTTTTCAAATAGAAACGGAAGAATGTATATGTATATATAATATATTAATATATATGTATATATTTAACGCACCACACACAAGAGTAAATATATGTACCTTACAATGTAATACGGCGAATATTAATTGCAGCCTCTTATCGTAGGCAAATGATCAAAGCCTTGCTGATGGTGCATGGTCGTGCTTTTAGGCCGATTGTCATTTTGACCATGCGCGATAATGTTCATTTGAGGAAGTTGCGGCAATAACATTTGATTATATCTTGAATTATCGGTTCGGTATCCATGGTCTTCAACAACGTAATTGTTTATTTGACTAAGTCTCGAGCGATCTCTGTACTTTTTGAGTTTCTCGAATTCTTCTAATTCCACATCAGGAATTTTAAAATGAAAATTTTCGAAGTATTCATGCTGCAGTAGTTGTTCACACGTCAACCTTACATTCGGATCTTTGTCCAAGCATTTTTCCATAAAATCAATCTATCAATGAACATGAAAAATATATACTTTATGTTAGAAAAATAAAAAATACTGCATGAAATAGTCACGTTTAGAAATACGATTTACGATTCAGATAAACATAATAGCATTGATTATAAATATTACCTGTAAGTGCGTATTCGGTCTATCAGGGAAAATGTCTTTAAACCGTATAAGCGTTTGCGGTGATGGAAGCGTTATACCAGCAAAGAATTCGTTTTGCTGAAATATAGCTATGTGTCTTGGTAATAGGTCGCCTACAGTCCTTCTTATTAAATAAAGTTGATCCACATCCGATTTTCCAGGCCATAGCGCCTCTCCTCGAATTAATTCGGCAAATACGCACCCTATTGCCCAAACATCTACAGGAGTTCCATATTGAGTATCTCCAACCTATTAAAGAAAAGCCAAAAAATTCTCAAAAACAATGATAGTTCTAATATGTTTTAATCGTTTTTAAAAAAAATAACATTGCGAGAGATCTTTATGAATATTTATTTAAAGATTTGAAGTTTGTTTTTGTTTAACTTACCAGTAATTCTGGTGCTCTATACCATCTCGTTGCAACATATTCCGTATAATTTTCACCGGGACTAAGCATTCGTGCAAATCCAAAATCACAAAGCTTAACAACGCCCTCCGCCGTAATTAAAATATTCTCTGGTTTAACATCTCTGTGAACGCAACCAAGTCGGTGACAATAGGCAATCCCTTGAAGAATTTGCCACGTGAGCTGTTTGATCATGAGGTCGGGACAACCATGTGGGAATTTCTCCATTTCATTTAAAAGTGTATGTTCGCAATATTCAAATACTAAATGTAACTTTCTCTTTCGTCTAAATACTTCCAAAAGATTTACCAAATTTGGGTGTTTTAAATTCTGCTGAAAAAATATAGATATAAGAATAAGATTTTCATGAATTCCTACAAATAACGTCAACGTAACATTGAATGGAAAATTCATTTCTTAGAATGCGCGTCTAAGAATACTATAGAAATTTAATTAGATTAAATATTATATAAAATAAAAAAAAATGACGAAAGAACAATAATAATAATAAAAAAACATAGAATTTAAATACTAATTTATACCGATAAAGGAAAATCATAATTATAATAAATTAAAAAAATCGTGCATGAAAAATATTTTCTCAAAAAATTGGCACGTTCTGAAACAATATAAGAGCAACGACCGAGGCGTGCGAGCGGTTCTTTGCATACAAGTACGCCAGAACACACGCCCCAACATATTGACCAACGCGGTATTGACCGCTGACCATTTTATTTATATCGTAGTTTGCGTTTATTCATTTTCATATTTATTCAAATGCGGTTCTTATTCTTCACGAATAATTCTAATTTTTGAGCGTTCAACACTTACAAAAGTGAAGATCGTCTTGCTATTTGAAATGTTGAAAACAAGATCTATTACTATCGTACGAATACATGTATGTACATTTTTATGTATATTTGTACTCACATATGTACAATAATATTCTGACCCCATTCTTACAATAATAGTAAAGATCAAAAGACTGACCTTAAGCAAGCGTATCTCTCGAAGCGCAATTTTTCGTATAAGAGGATCGTCCTCTGTTTGCTGAAATTTTTTGACGGCTACCAACTTTCCCGTATGTCGATCTCGACACTGGAAGACAACTCCGTAACTACCCTCTCCAAGACGTGCCAATCTTTCATAACGCTCCATTGCTTTGCTTGGTGCGCGAGACCTGTGTGTAATAAAACGTAATATCTTATTTTATCTTTGATAATAAGAAAAAAAAGGAAGAAATTAGTAAATGTAATAATTTAGAAACTGTCTTTATATCTTTACATCCTCTAGTTTTTACATCTACTTTTACGTCGCGTAAATCATAGCTTTTCAAATTTTTCCCACTTACCATAGAGTAATCTATATATACGTGTGATATTATTTTAAGTAATATAACAAATATTACGAAAATAGGAATTATATAAAAGAACGTTAATATAGAAAAATATCTATTTACTATATTAAAGTGATCAAATTCAAAACATTCTTAAATTCAAATTTCAGTTTTTCCTATTATTACATCTAATGCATAATTTATTAATATGTAATAAATAATTGTTAATATTAATATTAATAATTAATAAATAAATGTTTCCCAGAATTATCTAAATACAAAAAATGTCTTCAATCACACTCACGAATTTCATATATATAGGCATTTAGGCATATCTATCCATAAATATATAGGTATTACAATATAGTGATTGTGAGATCACAATACTGATACGCACTTCTTATATTTGGCAAGACATGGCAAGGACGTAAACTGTTGAGCAAAAAGCATGTTACGTTGGTGAACAATGCAAACTGCACTGTCTACATTTTCGCTGCTGACCAAGGGTCAAACTCCCCAAGCTCATTTAATTTTATCCATTGGACGGCACAAGACGCATGCGCTTTTTTCTTCAAGGATGTTGATTTTACCACACGCATGATGTGAAAGTACGATAGTTATGATATATTAAAAAAAAAAAAAATACAAAAAAGAAGTATGAACAAAGAAACGAAAAATTAAATTTGATGTTTACAATTTAAAAAAGAATCGTACCTAGGAAAGTCGTTAATATTGGAAAGATCTCACCTTAGATTAGTAAATCCTTATTCTCCAATATTACGGCTGCGCAAAGCTTTTTTTTTATAAAAATACAATACTTTAAATAATAATATGAAAGACTGTTAATAATTCTTCCTGTATTTTATGTGATGATATCCAAGCAGTAGCTTGTTCGCGGATTGTAACAACTTTCGTTTATGCGCGTGCGCGTGCATATGTGTGTAAAAAGAGAAAAGAACTTTATATATACTAATGAATTAAAAATTTGCAAACTTACCATAATGGTATAAACTGTCTATAATTAGCAAATTTCAAATCGTTACCCATCTCGACGTTGTTAACGTAAATATATCAATTATATCAAATAATTTCATAATACATTTTTTTACTGAGAAGTATATTCAATAAGTATATATTAATTTAAACTGAAAATTCTTAATAATTTTCTAATTGTAATGGTATTGTACTATTGTTACATGTAAACGAAATCGGACGATGGGCCGTCATTATCTGCGGAAGGTTAGATACGTTCTTATAATGTCACGCTATCGATCATAAAAAATATCTTGGACTACTTGAAAAGACAAATGACGATTTCATAGGTTCATCAAGTGATATGAAATAATACATAGTCGTTATATTTTAAATTAAATAAAAAGACACCTTAAACTTTCCTAAAATTTCGAAAATATTATATCTATTATAATATACATATATTTGCGTGCAATAAAATATATTTTTGTCTGTGGCATCCTCGTAATATTATATAATATATTATAATTATACATTATAAATTATATTATATATTATATAATATATGAATAAAATATATGAATAAAAAGAATGTAATATTGTCAGATAATAATTATTACTAACAATTAATTGGACAAAGGTAATATTTGAATTTGTTTACGTACAATAAGCCCATGATAGTGTTCATTGAGTTCGATCGTAACGCCCTCCTTTCCACTAAACATACTGGGCAATACTAATGTGTAAAAATGTTGCTTTACACGTTTCTTGTCGTTGAACATACGATTATTGACGATCGATAATATACTACAGTTACTCCTATCTTGAGTCCATGACCATGAAAAAGGGGAAAAATATTTCTTTTCGCCATCCACGCGTAACGATGAAACAAGAAATAATCAAGAAATGTGATACCACATACGCATAACAATATTTTTCGTAATAACAATAGTTGTGGAGTAATGACTTTGGCAAAAAAAGATACATGTGAAAAATATTTATAAAAAATATTTTTATATTCTATAAGTGAATAGATAACTAAAAATTAATGCAAATACACTACGTTTAAAAAATAAACATCGGCAACTATTGTTCTTTGTGGTTACAATAATTAATCATTTGCATAATTATTTGTATGCTTTCGATATATGTATGTACACATATGTATAAAAAATCGATCAAGGTATAATATTAGTTATATAAAACATCACGATATATGCGCACATACGTTAATATATAAGTAAACATGCATAGGTCATACGTATGTATATTGTAAGTACGTGTAACAATATGAAATTATGCATCATCGCGCATTGTTGTTATAGACGCGACCTTGGGAATATTTACCTTCTTGGTAGCAATGGAAGCGTACTACCAAAAAGCCAAAGAGTACTATCTTGAAGCCATTTCTCCATGCGAAAGCCACTCACAAGACGATAGATTCGCGAATGATGTCTTTTTAATCTGATGTTATTAATACCCTTGAAGTTCGTTTAAAATGCAACCCAAAACGCGTCGACATTATTGACTGCATCGAATTTTGCTATAAACTATCAAAAACCGATAGCATACGTTACACCGGGTTACTTGGTCGAGACAAAATTCATACGTTTACTAACTACGTCATTCCTGGAGATCAATATTCCGTAACAAAAATTCTATTCGTGCTTAAATGGCACGCAACATCAACTTATCCTTTGGTCTATATATAGTCGATTATATCGGAAACCATTAAAATACTATACTTTCAAAGAGAATTCGAAGAGGCTTTGTCTTTCGATATTTCTAAATGTACAAAATGAAATAAATCGTATTATTACACTAGATTTTTAATTTGGAAAGTGGACGCAATCATTGATTAAAAAAAGTACTCCAATGTAAAAAGTTTAGTTTTATACGATCAATTATACTAACAGTATAGTTCTGAAAATTCCTTTTTATTAATGAACTATATCTAATTTATGTTACTTTTTTTTATACATTACATCACTAATTTCATTGCAAATAATTGAACTTATATCTATTAGAAAAACCGATAAACGAATTATACATAATTCTGCTTAAAATATTAATTTTTTCATACCCTTCTCTTGACAATTAATTGTCAAGAATACTTACATATCTATATGTATTTATGTATATCGTATAAAATTTATACTAACATTTTAATCATAAATATTTGTTTCGCGTTGGCCTCTGTATGTTGGAATTTCATCTGGCAGTTTGCAGTAATACTTGAAAAGTAAAACCATACTATATAATAGAATAAATAATAATATTTTTTATATAAAAAATCTTGATATTTCACTTTCTCCTTTAAAAGAAAAGAAAAGAAAAAAAATAATAAGTTAAAATATGAAGTTAACAAATAAGTACGCAGATAAATACATAGATAAGACAAGACATCACTTATACAAACAGTCATATATATGTTACGGGCAATATATTACTGTGGGCATTTTACAAAATGCCCAGAAGGTTTCGGTCAATCTATAAAATGTGCTTCAGTTGGCTGTGTTTAGAGCATAGTGGGAGGATTTTACTTTCCATGATTTATTTCACGCACAATAGCTTCAGATTTTCTCCGCTACCCTCCCCTCTGCTCTAAATACTCCTCATTGAGGCATATTTTATAGATTTTCCGAAACCCTCTACGCATTATATAAAATGACGGGGCAATCTGTGAAATACTTGCTTATTATACACATTGCCCGTTTTACATGAGCATTTTATAAAATGCTAGAAAAATATACACTACCCATATCATATACAATATATGTACATGATATTAAATATACTGAACGTTTTAAACACTCTTAGCACTTCGTTTTATAGAATGAGACGATTTCGTTGTCCCTTGACTTTCTCCTCTAACGGTAAAAGTAACAAAATATCTTTTGGTGCAATCTAGTCTTTCAGCTGGTAGAGCGATAACTTGTTTTTCGTCACCGTGAGTTACTTCCACCTTTGTTAAAGCACACAAATCAATACTATTTGTTTCTCTTTAATAAAGATATAGCAGCAGATTAGACACGATGTCCACTTACCGTCATTTGTCCTCTCCCACGAGTCTCTATTTTTGGAAAGTGATCCACTCGTTCTTGCGCCTCTCCGCCAACTGCAATCATCGTCTATTATCAAAATACGAAAGGTCAAACATTTAATGAATTACCACAAGTTGCATTCAATCATGTACTTACAATTAGGTATGTAAGTACTTTTAAAAAATGAATATCACAACATAACTTACTATAAGTATAAACAGGTACTGAAGTATAAGCAGTTGTAGCATGATGACACCGATGAGTTCTCTGGGTACAATATTTTGCATCTGTACAAAAATTTGGTGTGGCCGGTCTCCTTTGTAGTTTCCTTAATTGTTCGTATAAGAAGGCTTCGAAATGTCTGTCGAGTATGAATGATAAAATAAAATGTACAAAATTTCTAATTTTTCATTTTATTGTGTTAATAGGATTGAAAATACTGAAAACCTGAATGTAAATGGTTGATCATATTTAGCAACACCAAGGGTTGGACCGGTCATGCCAGCTTTATGAAATGACTCGACCTAAAAATTATTTCGATAATTACATTTACATAATGTTGTAGCGCATAAGCAACTATCGCATGCCGATTTGATATAAACATAGTACTGACAAGATGAAGCAATCTTGTTTATCTCATACTTTCCATATTCAAATAGTTGTTTGCAATTTATTGATTACAACAATCATATGTGAAAAATATATTATAATATCTCTTATACATATGTGCTACTACCTCAAAATGTATCGAATATGGGACAGGTATATGGTATTAAAATAATATATTTCTTCATCTTTTATCTTGTTTTTTCTTTCTTTTAAAGATAAACTATAAAATAAAATATCGAGAAAATGTCAATTTTTCTACTTTCCAATCCTATCTTCTTACCTGTCTTTTAACCAAAACTTGCTCATTAGCTCTACCATGCCTAATCTGCAATCTCTTAAGTTCCATCAATTGAAAAAAGATCTTCCTTTCTAAATGGTAACGACGCAAATTAATTTGAACGTCTCTCGTGACGGTATCTACATTGAGCGGTTGATGTTTTTCCAGCTTTGAACATTCGACCATGTTCCTTCTTTTTGGTATTTTAGAAACTCTCGGACTTGGTTCTATACCACTATCTCTACCGCCACTATCACGACGACACTGTTTCGTACACTGTCGAAAACGTTGATTTTCCGATGGAATCTTAGGTATCTTTTCCGAGTACGTGCAAAGTTTTCTCTGAACCTGATAATAGGAACATTATTACAAAAAAGAACGTTATTACGTTCATATAATTTCAACGTGTAAAGTAAAGCAAGAGTGTCAACTTACTTCAGGTAAAGTAACGATAGCCGAAGTTTTGGATGTACCGACGTCTAGACTTCGGTAAGTATCTTGCTCGCTAGTACTCGGCAAAACTCTCATAACGCCAATTTCGTTATTTTCTTCTTGTCTCGTATCACGTTCGCCGTCTTTTCTGATTACTTTTCTAATTTCCTTCTCGATTTCTTCATCTTCTTCATACCATTCCGGACTCTCGATAACGGCAACTATGGCACTGCGATCGAGAGAACGTTCTTCAGATTTATCAGATAAATTTTTAGTCCTGTTCGATGTTTTTGTTACGGTCAAGGGGCACTCAGCTTCTTTTGTCTGCTTTCTGGTCGAATCTTTTGAATATCTTGAACGTCTTGTTGCTGTCGGCGAAAAATTCTTGACGTCTGATAGATATAACAACACAAGATTCATTTATTTTCTTTATAGAATATTATACGATTATTCATAGAGACATATAATATAATAGATTTATAATATAATAGATTTATATTTATATGTAATAAAAAACTTAATATTAGACAACTGAAATGTGTCCGCGTTTACCTTTACTTAAGAAAGATTTTTCCTCGTTCATAGTATTATTTGCGTCTATTTTTTTGACAATCCTGACTTTATTAGGTTCTCTTGCAGTTTTATGTTCGTCAAATTTTACTTCGAGAACGGTACTCTTAGCGAGGACTGGTGTATTCGTTCTCGAAAAGTCATTCTCATCTTCTCGTATCAATACTGAATCTCTAGAATCTGAGGATAAATCAACAGATTTGCCACGTGCGGAATCTACTTGCTCCTTATCCTCGAAGAAGTCATTGCTATAAGTCGCATCGAAAGAAGGAGATGATGCCTCATTCTGACGTTTCTCTTGTTGAATTTTAAACGATTTTTTATTCGTTAAGCCAAACTCATCGATGATAATGTTTCCTTTGCACGATTCTTCGACATCCTTTTGTAATGTACCATTTATACTGTATTTTTCTTTCGAACCTATTGTCTCGATTACATCTTCCGATCTCTCTTTCTCTTTTTCTACTTTTGAAAGTTTTTCTAACGCCAAAGTTGGCATCTCTTCTCTAAGTGATTCTTTCAATGTATGAGCATGTGAAACTACTTCTGAAGCCACACTATCGTTAGCTGAATCCATGCAGCTTACAATGTTTTTCGGAGTGCTTGGCGAAATGGCAAGAATTATTTTATCGCTTTCTTCATTTTTCAATAAAAAAATATCTTTTTGAGAACTCTCCTTTCGTTGATCTAGTCCCGAATGCAGACGTCCCTCTTCCTGAGAATCCAATGAAGTGCTTTCGGGTTTTTTTACTTGGAATGCGCGCAACCTACCTAGTGAATGGTTTCTATAGAAAACGAGGCTAAGATTATAACATTTTTAGTTTATACAAAGTAGGATATGGACTGGCTCGCTTGATCTAATTAAAGTGATCATCGTGTTCTTTGTATATCCGAGTTTTTTAGATAGAATGGGTATACAGGGAAAATCATGAGAAGCAGGACACTGTAATATCTTCTTTGTTGACAATTGTATTCAAAAACTTAAAATAAAAAAGTTGCATTATTGCAGGGGGGAAACTTAAAAGATTTTTTTTAGAGGTCATTTTTTTACGAAATTTTAAGGTTATCGGTGATTTTTTATTATAAATGGACAGCTACATTTTGTTTTGCAATATTCTTATAGAGCGTAAAAAAAAAATTTAATGACCCTAACACAGATTATAAATGCTTAAAATGATCGAAATATATCGATGTACGTGTATTTAACAAAATTTTTAAACATGATATTCTTGGAAACGGAGTGAAAACTTAGTCAATACTTTCAGATGAAGAAAAATTGTGTTTAATTGTCAAGATGCGAAATAATACGTGAATTTATTATAAATATTAATAGCTTAAGGCCTTACCTTCAACCGCTTCGACATCTCTTACTACCTTCTCATTATCATTATTCCTTTCGTTTACGCTATTTTCATTCCTATCTTCAACCCCACATTGTATATTTTGGAGATCCTTCTTTAGATCTTTAGCCTTCATTACCAACGAGTTAGATAGTTGATCGGATTTTCCATAAACATCGTCCACATTATTTTGCAATTCTTCACAATTCTTATCAGATATCTCTTTTTCCAAAACATTTTCAAAAGTGACTTCCTTCGAAGTTTCTATCGTAGACTTTGGAGTATCCGGTCCTTGGTCTTTATGGACCATCGCCGTAACTAAAACTCGTTCGACGGTTTCATGGCTCGTACTATCCGTCACGTCTCTATGATGATAGCGTCTTTCTACGAAGGACATTGCCTTATCCTCTGATGTGGATGACTTTGACGCGACTTGGTCATCGTCAACGTCAATGACGTTTTTATACTCTTCTTCCTCTATTTCTTTCTTGTCTGAACGTGACTTTGGTTTAGTGCTGGCATCCTTCTCGGATACCTTTTCGGATGCTTTATCGAACGGCTTATCGGATAACTTATCGGATGTTGTCGATACACAGGATTCTGATTTCCGTCTCAAATTTCGTTTACGAGATCCTCTTTTTCTAATATCTTTTGAATTTTCTTTCGATTTCTGTGCTTTTCCTCCGGATACAATCTTTTCACACTTTTTCTTCTCAACGGACGTTCTCACGACGATTACTTCTAAACTGTCGTCGGTACCACTGTGCTCGTCTTGATCGCTCTTTGTTTCTGATTGTAAATTCTTCCGATTGGCTCGACTTGCTTCGATCTCCGACTTCGATCTCTTTTTATTCTTATCTGCGCGACATTTTGATCTCCGTCCTCCGAGCTTGCGCTGAAGAAGAAACGTTCTTACCGTTCCGTTATTCCCTAAATCTTCTTGGAAGCTATCATCGCTATAATTTATAGACGAATCACTATAATCGTCCTTAGATTTTGCTCTAAGTCGTCTTTTTCTTCCTTTTCGTGCTAACTTTTCATCAGTAGTCGTGTCATTCTCGTCGTATCTAAAAACATCATGTACAATCGTATGCGAAAAGACAATAAAAATAGAGTACAAGCATAATACTTATAATTACATTCTATATATTGTTGAGTAGTTTATAAGATAATTTATACATATATTCTTGTTTGTAATACAATCTCACATATCTACTAAATAATTATTAACGAAAATTTTGAAATCGAATCGATTCGAATTTGTTGTCGAAGAAAATGCATACCTCGCAGACTCGCTTCTGCTTCGTTGCTGATATTCTTTTCTTGAAGACGCCTTCTTAGATAGTCGAATTTCTTCTTCGCTGAAACTTCGACTGTCTCGTCGCAATAAATTCTTGGAATTTCCTTTCTTTCGTGTTCTTTTCTCGATCCATCGTTCCTCGTAATAGACACGCGGTGCCTTGCGTGCGTGATCCCATTTTGGAGGACTATCTTCCGAATCTGTGCCACTCTCAGTACGGTCAACTCGAAATTTTGCAGAAAAAACTGAAAGACAAAGGATTTCATTGAAAAGGCTTAAAATAATACCCTTGCGTTTATCGACATTCGAGGTATTCGAGAATTGAGCTAACCCTTCCCAGGCGTACTCCTGCGATCTTTTAATCGTTGAGCAGTAGTTCCACCGTGCATTTGAATCAATTTAGCACAATCTCTGTGGCCCCTATAAAGAGCAGCATCCAAAGCGGTCATCATGTTACCCTTGTTAGTCCTTAGAATCGCATTCATTCTTGCACCATGATCCAAAAGCACCTTGCAAGCATCCAAATGACCATGAAGTGCTGCTACATGAAGAGGCGTCTTACCGTCTTGCGTAACGATATCCAACGTACTCGGACGTTTTTTAGCCAACCATTTGAGGAGTTCGATTCTTCCCGAAGCTACGGCCTCGTGAGCAACCCCTGTACCTCGTACTGTTCTAGCATGCAATGAGCCACCGTGCTGCGCTAAGATTTTTAACGTTTCCAATTGACCTTTAGCTGCTGCACATAGGGCTGGCCTAAAACATATTTTTTTACTAACTTGAATAGACGTAAGAGAAATGATTCCAACTTACGTTCTACCCTTTCGATCTTGTCGATTTGGATCAGCTCCTAATTTAAGAATCAAGGCCGTAGCGTCGGCGTGACCGAGCGTAGCGGCATAGTGTAGAGCGGAACAACCATTATCATCTACATGATCGGGCTGAGATCCGCACAAATTAATTAATGCCTCGACGCATCTCGCATGACCTCTCGACGCGGCGCAATGAAGCGCCGTTAAACCGTCTTTATCCGACGCTCCTGCGGCCGCAGCTCCCCCGACCCTTTATCGTTTATCGACATCGATAAGGTTATCTACTAGCTATCTATCCATTATCTTGGAATATTTTCCCTCCCTTTTAATTCTCCCTTAGATAGTAGATGAATAAATATATACATATGTATATACATCTACATGCTAAATTAGTTAGGATATATTAATTACCTTGCCAAAGCTAAAACTGCTTCCACGCTACCGGCACTAGCCGCCCATAAGATTGCCTGTCGTCCATCTTCGTCCTTCGCATTAACGTCAGCGCCAAATTCTATAAGAGTTTGTAATACCTTTAAACCAACTTTTTTTGGAACCGCAAGTTCGGCAGTCACTGCGGCACCGCAACATTGCGCAGCGTAATGGAGAGGCGAGCCTCCGCGGAGATCTGGCGTTGAAGGCCTAGCACCCGCAGCTAAGATCAGACGTACGCATTCCGCTTCCCCGCAAACTAGAAAAACGTCAACAATTTATAGAAAAGCTCTATCTACGAAATACCTATGTATATCGCATAGTAGTTCGGTGTAATTCGACATAGCTCTGCGTTGCTTGCCCGATACCTCGCCCGATAACTATAACTAAACCCGATAACCGAATATTTATCAGTAACGTCAATCATAGCCACGATCTTTATATCGTCTTATATCGTCTTGCGTGTTGCTTTCATGCTTAGAATTACGTCACCTTATAGTAGCCGACCCACTGACTCATTACGTCCACTTGATTCATGTATATTTTCTATACTTTCCTACTTTTTAACCTATACTTTTTAGGAAATTTAAATATTACAATAATTTATCTCTTAATGAACATCGGCTACTTATAATACATCAACAATCTGTTCAATGGATAAAAACTTATATCTAATAAAAGCCGTTTTTTCTTTTAGGAAAATATTATAAATATCTTTTAGTCGGAATGATTTAATATAAAAATGTCTTTTATGGTTATCGTTTGCCTAACGAGATTTAATAAAATGCATCTTGCTAAGACCCCTACCAGTGGCCCAATGAAGAACGCTATGACCTTCCAAATCTTTGGCATTAACGTCAGCGCCATTCGCTAACAAAACAGCTACCAACTGAGTATCGCCGGCAATGACTGCGAGATGAAGAGGTGTATGTCCCTCGGCATCGGGAGCATTAACCAATTCTGGTGCCGCTGATGCAACAGCACCACCCGTCGCAGCATCCATACAGTAATGAAGTGCACTTCTTAACGTTCGATCTCTATAACAGATGCTCTCCTCTTGTTCCCTCAATAATCTCAAGACTTTATGTCTGTCGGCCTGCTGGCAAGCGTGCATCAAAGGTGTGGCGCCAATTTGCAATACTCTACGAAAGTAGTCATTTCTTTGTACAATTTTCATGTTTCGTTAAAATCAAAAATATTCTCTCATTCTTATATTATAGAATTTGTTTCCGTGTACAAAAATAAAATAGAATAAAAAGAAATAAAAAAGGACAGAAGTTATAAATCTAGTCGAGACATTACCTGTAAGGTCTCTTCTTATGATGATTTGGATAGCATGTAGGGTAATTGACGTCATACGACCATGAATTTATGACAGGCTTTAGTTTTTGTCGGAGATTCGTAGAAGGTATCAATGGCGGCAGAAACAGATCGGCTACACGTTCCTGCTTCTTTACTTGAACCTTCTCTGGAAGCTTCAAAGGTATAGGTGGAGTCTTAGTGTCCATGCCCGTCTTTGACACCGTTTTTCGACTAATACAACCTCGGGTAAGAACATCTTCTGCCTTGTAGTCGGATCGAACTCATCGTGTGGAAAAAAATCCGTCCGGTCTCGCCGCCCAGAATGTGGGTCGACGTTTAAAAGAAGTAGTTGGATGAATTTCTCTCACCTTCTTAAAAAGATATAATGCTGATGACTGAATCGTCGATGTATAATTCACTCCTATTTAATGTTTTCTCTTTACGTGTACTACACACATATACACACCGTGTAAGCATATATATATATATTAATGTCTTTCCAAATTATAGTACAAGAACTCCGTCAGTGTTACATCTATGTGTGTTTTTATGTACCCGTGGCCCTATGTTATTTCTCCTTTTCTTTTTATTATTTAGCGAACTCATCTATCCTTATGTTTTAAATATAATAATTAGCGTAAAATTAACGCGTAATGTGCTTATACATATGTATAAATAATAACTCACGTCGTAATCGATATCAATCGAAAAATGTATTATGAGGATTAGTTTTAAATAATAAGAAAATAATTTCATATCACGATCATTGAAGCAACTACATATCTCAACAAGTGATTCGTGTCTACGATAATAATGCTTTGTAGAACCGAGCCGAGGAACGACAAGCGATCTATTATCGTTACATCTGGATCACTAGGTTCTAGCCCAAATTTAAAGTTTGATTACTGACCACGTGGTAAATTGACCAGGTCACTTGATACCATAGAAACCAAACGTCACAACATTTAGCACCAATAAAGAACCACAGTGGAAAATCTCACGGCAAGGTCGCCACGTGTTTAATTCTATTATCTTACAATAGATTATTTCACATTTCAGATGCTAAATACTATAATACTATAATAAATTAGTAATCATTTATAATTATTTCATGGTGAAACATTGCCATAATTATAATTAAAATTGAACACTAGCGAATGCTACATGTCGGTATCGTTAACATTTTCTATCTCTCAAATACAATAATTCTTAAAATAAGTTCTATGTCACGTTATGTACAAGTACGAAAGAATATTGATGGATCGATAACGATTATCGCATCCAATGTGTGTATTATATAGATTTTCATTGAAAATAGACAATCGTTTAATGATTCGTCCCATTAATTATTCCTTCGCGTATATATATATTCTAAATAGTAATACCTATACCAATATTTAATTTATTTCAATTTAATGAAAGATAAGGTAGAATAGAATGATAGGTAATGTAAAAGGCTTAGTTTTTCTTTGCTAATGCATAACTCTTGTAAAAATCAGCACAATGGCATGCGTTCTTGTTGAGTAAATACATATACTTATACATACATACATATATACATACATACATACATACATACATAAACACATCCATGCAGCATACATACATATGTTGCACGTACAAGAACCCACGTGCGCGCGTGCCATAACGCAAGGGTGACTGAAAATCGTTATTTCGTTGATTCAGTGTGCAGCACGTCAATCGTTATTATACCGTTAATAATTTGTTGAGACCTTCACTATTCGTGATACTGAATCACCCGTTAAAAATTGTTTATTATATTATCACATAATTTGTGCGAGATTACTCGTGTGCGCAATGATATTACGCTTACAAAATAATCTTCAATCTTTCGTGGTTATTATTTTTGACATGAATATTGGATATTACAGATATGACATTGATACACATCTATGTAAATTGTTTAATATCAATTGAAAGCTTATAATTTCGATTTCAAGCATTTAATTTAATTGGTTATCTATCGTTATGAAAGGTGATTATTTTTTAAAATAATCTTATTAATATAAACTATACATATATATATAGAATGTAGATGTAGATGTAGATGTAAATGCATAGTAAACGTAAGGATAAGTATTTCTTAGAGACATGATTTTTGTGTTTCATATTCTAGAGAAATTCAAAACTTACTTAATAAAATAATATGTCGCACATCCTCTGAATACATCGTGACTTAAAAAAAGGCGCGAATTCGAAATTTAAATCTTATGATAGAAATACAATCACATTCAACCACGCGGATTGTTTTTCACGAAAGTGAGAAACACACCATGCTACTGTACGATACGTACTAACGCGCTGATTCCTCTGTTAGACTTCCAACTAATTCAGGGGTTGCTTAGTTACTCTTCACTACAGTAGCGCAACAACAAAACTCGCTCATATTATTAAAATATAGCAGCCCGTGATTAGTTTCTCAATGTACTCTTGAATACTTTTTCTAATGACAATTAAACAATTAATTTCAATGATGATGGTCCATCTACTTTTAAACCCATTATTTATATTTCTTTCATAAAACTTTTGTTTATCTATATATTTTAGAACGTAATGTAGTAACATTGGGGGTATAGCTCAGTGGTAGAGCATTCGACTGCAGATCGAGAGGTCCCCGGTTCAAACCCGGGTGCCCCCTCAAAAATCATAATTTTTTTTCTCTTGTTAATTATTAAAATTAATTGATAAAAGTCTTAATATTTTCATATTTAGAACCCAAAAAGGTAACTATTTTCTTTTAATATGTATGTTTGTTATTTTTTTCTTCTTTCCAAAACCAAAAGAGAAGAAAAATCTCGTTTATAATTATGATAAATAGTATTTTATCATAATTGTTTGTGAATTGCATATATCTGTAATACTATATATGTATCGTACTATATACAACGCTATATAATATGAATGCACACATGTACAATTTTGGTAAACACATTTTGTGATACAAAAAGATATTTCATAAATGCGAATTGAAACTTACAATAGTGACGATTGGTTTACTCTAGAATTAATCGATATGAGACATTGGGAAGAATAGAAATGATGATATGATGAAATGTTGCATCTGTATAGTAGGTATAATTCATTTAGAATAATCATCTGATAAAAAGAAATGCATTATCGGATGTCACTATTGTTGTCACTAGTCACATGACAGAAGGATAAAAATTGTGTTGGTGGTACTGACATGAGTAGTGAGAGACCGTACAACTAGAGAACGTCGAAGTATGATGACGTGTTGAAGTGTCTTGTATTTTAGATTTTTAAACTAATATTAATCCGAATAAACGCACCTAAAATAGAAAGTTAACAATTTATCGTGAAAGATCATACTATCTGCTAAACTATAAAATAAAACATGAATTATAGCCAATCAGGTGCACGCCGTGGTAAGTAACAAACGAATGAACAAAATTAATGAAAATCAGAAAATAAATTCTCCCGTGAAATATATCTCATCAATTGATAAGAGTGTATTCTCTTAATTCTTTTTTGTGGTACCTTATTCGCAATTCATTTAGAAGAAATGAATGAAGTAACGGAGGTTATGTTACTTTAAGTTCTATATTAAGTATCATTATTCTTTTATATGAAAACAAATGTTATCAAATAGGTAAAACAAAGAGGTTATTAGATCCATCGGCTGGCCTGACAGCACGCCCTATGCCAATGGTAGAAAATTCGTATATATACAATCAGCAGGTAAAAATATAAATTATACAGTGCTCTTTATATACTATATATAATGTTGATTACTATGTTTATACAAGGTACCTACAAACAATGGCTTGTCATCGGAATATATTTTCAATATCCAAGAACAAGCTCCATCTCCAAGCGGATTTAACCCAATGCCAATGCAACACTATGCAGCACATAATGAAGATCACACAGAGAACTACTCCAATTCTCAGTTCGCAGCTCAAATATTGTCGCAGCCAGTTGTTACCGATATGGCTGTACAATATGGAACTGCATTGGTAGGATCAGGAAGGCAACATTTTGAAAAATATGTGCCAGTTAGAGCATTAAAATATTATTTTGCTGTGGATACTAATTATGTCTTTGGAAAACTTGCAATTTTGTTCTTCCCATTCACTCACAAAGTAAGATTTAAGATCATTTAGAGACAAGGAATATTTAATTAATTGGTTAATGTATAATTGTAAAACGCATTAAATGGATTTAATACCATTAACAGGACTGGACTGTAAAATACGAACAAGATGTACCCATGCAACCACGTTATGAAAAGAATGCACCGGACATGTATATCCCAATGATGTCATTTTTAACATATGTGGTACTAGCTGGCTTGGTTTTAGGTGCGCAAGAACGTTTCAGCCCTGAACAACTTAGTATATTAGCTAGTTCTGTACTAGCTTGGGGTATAATGGAACTAATAGTTCATACTGTCAGTTTGTATGTAATGAATATTGAAACGAGCTTGACCACTTTGGATCTGCTGGCTTATTGCGGATATAAATATGTTGGTATAAATGCAGCTCTATTGAGCTCATTACCATTTAAAAAATTTGGCTATTATGCAGCATTGTTATATTTTAGTGCAACATTAGCATTTTTTCTCATGAGATCTTTGAAATTAAGAGTTATTCCGCAGGGTCAGATTTCATACACAGCAACTGGTAATAGAAGAAGACTTTACTTTATATTTTTTGTAGCAATTATTCAACCTTTATTGATGTGGTGGCTGTCTTACCATTTAATATAAATAAACATTTCAAGTACAAAGCTTATCCATTTAAAAAATAAATAAAATGTATATTTATTATAATATATCGATTATACATTTTTCTAATAAAAATTTTACGGATATGATATTGCTAAAGATATTTACATATTTACCTTTTTAAAGGAACAATTTGATTAATCAAACAAAATTTTGGGTATTTATTTTGCATATTTATCTCATAAAGTAACATTCATGCTGAATTAATGCTACATTCTTCGAATTTTGACACACGTTTTATCTAGCATATTGTTTGTATGTGTACATGCAATGCTTTTTTTATGGTATAAAACGCACTGGAACGACGTATCAGCATTTATTTTAATGGTATTTGTAATATTTCAAAAGCGAATAAAAGAAATAAGAAAAAAAATAAGCAAATGAATGATATTCCATAAATGATATTTAAATATAATATTCTCTAATGAAAAGCTTGACAAGAAGTGAGTTCCAGCACTGTTTATTATTTTTTATGAAAAAGCACTGCTCACATATAACATACTTTGCAAGTATATAAATATTTATAGATAAATATATGTTGCTGTTAATATAAAAAAATAACAGGAATTTTTTTAATAAAATACCCTTATAAATCGAGCATTCTGTGAAATATTTACACATCAAAAGCATTGCTCATTGATTCTATAGATTATCTAGAAGGTTTCAGC